ATGCATGGTGTTGTTGTTGTTTTTGTTGCTTTTTCTGTTGGTTGTTTTCTTGGTGATTGTCGTTTGGTTGATGATGGATTGAATGGTGAAATGGATAAGTGAAATAAAGGTGATTTGATGTTTAGATGATGGTGTGATGGCTTGCATGGATGATTTTGTTTATACGTACCTTTCCCGTATGTTGATCCAATTTTAACGATGGCGGGGTCAACCCTTACAAGCTAATGGATGATATCGAAAGCCGTCCTGCGCAAGTTGATGGATGGGATCGGGTGTGGTAGATGGATTAGGTGAAAGTTTGTTGTTGTAATGAGATCTCTTCAAAGTCTTGTGAATACATTACTTTGTTTTGGATGAGGACAGAGGAAAAAAAAAATTGTCTGAAATTTTTGAGGGCCTTGCGTTTTTTTTTTTTAGCACATATCACGTCCGTTTTATGCGTGGGTTGATTGATACAAGTCATTATCATAATATTACTTTTGCGTTCTAATCTTCTTTGTTTGTTTTGTCTTTCTTTCTTTAACACCGTGCAATATATATGTATATATAGAGCTTATAGTAATATTATCGATATGTGAGCACATACAAAATTTCAATGGACCGCGTCATAGTTACATAAGTACTACTTTGATATTTGTTCAAACATATATTATAAAAAGGAACGTGAAAAAGGAAAACTGAAGGAAACACCGAGTGAAGTAATATAAGAAGTGATTGATGAGGATGATTAGAAAGTAGGAAGGAAATCAAATGTGCGTGTTGGGGGACAAACAGCTAAACAGGTAAAAAATAAAATAAATAGTCTCCGTAACGGCAGTGAGAGATCTCGGATCGACCTTGTCAGTCCACACAAGTCCTCCTTTTTTTTTTTTTTTTTTTTTTTTTTCCGGCCCATCCACATTTGATTTGTCGGAAGTCACTCAAATACACACACCACACTTTAGACGATCAACATCGTTCTTTGATCTACGCTATCCTCACAAAACCAAACCCCACCACCAGCTTCAAATCAACTTCATAACTACCTACATCTTCCACATCCCCATTCTCATCATCATCAACTCTTTCAATAATAAGCAACAATGTCCGGCAGAGTATCATCAACAAAAGGCAAATCAGGATCCAAAAAACAAGCACAAAAACATCAAAACTCATTTGCCTTTGTCCCTTCAAAATTCTCTACAAAGGCTCAAAAGATTATGGAGTTACCTGTTCAGGGTCTATGTCAACGATGTTGTGATATTATACAATGGAGGTAAAATATAGTGTATACTCTGTACTGTGTGATCTCTTGAATGCAAATTGTTTGATTCTGAATTTCTTGCATCATGATGTATATAGAAAACGAATGGGTCAATATAAACCATTAACAGTACCAAAGAAATGGTAAGAGAGCATATTCAAATCCATTCATCCTTTATGTTTATCTATAGAACGATCATAGTTCTAACACAACAACCCAAAAACTTGTACAGCGTCTCCTGCAACCAAAAACGCATAAAAGAAGCCTACCACATCCTCTGTGACCCCTGCGCCTCCACCAAACAAGTATGTGCAAAATGTCAACAACCGAATGAGATACTGCCATCCAGTGGTGGAAAGACTCCCCAGGAACTACTTCAAGAGAGTCAGAATGAGGAACGGTTGAGGGGATTGATGACTGAACGACAGAGACGGAGTTATTTGAGACGGTTGGAGAGGGGGGATGAGGAGGGGGCTGAGAGGATAAGGAGGATTGTTGAAGAGAGGGTTAGAAGGGAGGATGAGATGGATGATGATGAGGATTGGGATATGGATGATGATCTTGATGGTGATATGAGTGATGAAGACGGTGAAGGTGAAGGTGACGATGGTGATGAAAATGAGGAAGAGGAAGAGGAAGAATGAAGGATTTTTTTACAGTAGTGTAAAGAGATGGAGTGATTATGCCAATGTTGGATTGAAGCATAGTTGGTTTTGCATTCATTTGCGTTTTGGATGATTTTTCCTTCCTTCCTGTTTGTTGTTTCTACTTTTCATAGACGCATATTTCTCTCTTTTGAATGTTGTGTTTCCCCGACAAACTCCCAACCCGCATTCTGCATTTTACCTTTTTCTTTTCCCCCATTTTGCTGGTCACTGATCACTTTTTTATTTCTTTTTTTTTTTTGTTTTGTTTCTTCCTTTTTTGTTTTTAACTTTTTTGTTTTCATTCATCCGTTCTTTGATTTTTGCTTCTTACTATTTGTTTTTAGATATGCCTAAACTTCTTTTTTTCAATCGTTTTGTTTATTTTTTGGTGTTTCTTCGAAGGAAAGATATAACGGGAGAGAAAAACACCCCGTATTTTTTTATTATTTACCGTATTATTTGGTTTACAAAACAACAACCAAAAGGTTCCAAATGACTTGATATTAAAAGAAAAAAAAAAGAACGAAAGAAACGAAAAAACGAAACAAAAAGAAGTCCATCCATGCGACCTACAATTATCATATCTCATAGATTCGAAGTTCGTAACAACCCATTCGTCAACTTCACAATCTCCTTTGCTGTAAAAGTTTGATTACAGGAATAAGAAGATATGGTTAATACAACATCACATCAACCAAGAAAACATAAAACAACAAAAACATAAAACTCACCAACAACCTCCGGCTGCTCAACAGGCACCATATGACTCGCACTCTTGACCACCAAAAAGGTCCCACGTTGAACTTTCCCCGCAAGTACCTGTTCCCTAATCAACCCCGTCCTACCATCGGCAATATAATTCGCAGCAGCAAATTCCGAGAATTCACCAACGAGAAACCGAACGGGACAGGAGATTGAGGGAAGGTTTTGGTAGACTTTTTGGGTGTTATTTTCAGTGCCGCCTGTGAATGTTGCCTATTTATATATATACACCACCATCATCATCAGTTATATATATCTACATGTTGTTTAAAGCAAGGAGGGAAGAGACAAGGGGAAGGGGAGGAAAGGAGATGAGAGGGGATACTACTTACAGCTTCCTGTTCAGGCGTACATTTCAACCTAAACCTCGTCAACCCATTAGCATTCACATCTTTAAACTCCTCAATCCCAAACCCGACATAAAGTTTCAAAGTCTCGTCAGTCCATCTACTAAAAAATAACTTTGATTTAAACGAGTCCAATGCCTGTTGTCGAGATTCGAATACGGATCTTCTTTTGAGTGCCATTACTGCGTGAGGACGTAGTTTTTGTGAGGAGGTTGGTTGTTGGGATTTAAGGTAGGTGATCAGGTCTGGTGAGAAGATGATTGGTTCGATTAGGATTAGTGCGTCAAAGGTACCGGGTGAGAGTTGCTCTGCCTGAATAAAATATAACATAAAAAACAATGTTCAGCACTTATTCGCCATTCCACAACGCAACGAGAGATGAAAAGGAACTGAAAAATAGGAAGGGCATAGATGTATCATTACCATCAACAAATGACATCCACCAAACGAATGCCCAACACCAACATAAAAGTTCCTACCGGCACCAGCACCACCACTAGCACCTCTCTGCCTACTCTTCACCCACTGCACAACAGCAATCGCATCCCTCCCGCCATCCCACCAATTAAACACATTCCCGTCCAATAGTTTCTTTGCATGGTTTGGTAACGCCGAGTCTCCCATGTTACGAGCGTCCCAGGCGTATGCGGTAAGATTCATTCCAGGCGATAAAGTGTTGAATTGTGTGAATACATTTCTGATTACTGGTTCCCAGGTTTCTTTGTGGAGGCCGTTTGCGTGGGCGTAGAGGAAGGTTATGGAGGTTTGTTGTTGTTGTTGTGGCGGGGGAGTTAGGGGGGTAGTTGAAGTTGGTGAGGTTGTTGTGGGTGTGATCGGTTTATATGTGTTTATTGCGATCGAGATTCGTGGGTGGGGTGTTGGGGTTGTACCGGTGGTAGAGGCGGTAGATGGTGGATCTGAAGAAGGGGAACTAGTACCACTTGATGTTGTTGTTGTGGATGGTGCGTACGGGATTGTGATGAAAGTTTTGCCGACAGTCTCCATCGTGGATCGGTTTCTTTATTGTGGGTTGCGAGGGTTTGAAAGTCGATCGGATTTCTTCTGTTTGTTTGTTTGATGTTGTTTGGTCCAAAGGTAGGAGATGGGTTTTGAATGATCAAGACGAAGATAGAAGATGATGATGGGTGTTTGGATGTTGGGTTTGATCCAGAGTGTTAAAACCGCCTTTTCCCCCTGTGTTGATCACGACACCCGTGATGACAAAAATAACGCGCCCGCCCAGAAAGAAAAAAAAAAATTTGAAGTCCAAATCTCTCACGTGAAGATAATCTACTACATATAACTCGGCTAAAATGGGCGTGTTACTTTGAGTTTCTACTTTACTTACTTTTAGCGTCCTCACTTTTAGCATTTACTTTGCTTACTTTTAGCATCTACTCTTTTTGTTCATTTAAACTCCCCCTAGTGCATTCTTTTCCTTCTTCCAGACTTCATCCAACGATTCTCTTTTTTTTTTATTGCAAGCAATTTGTTGCATTGATTTTGCTCCATTGACGTTGTCAAGGTTTTCGTTTTACTGGACACTTTTCTCGTTTTTTTATATTAATCTGCTTTTTTGGTTTTCTGTTGTTTCTTTTCTTTCTCCTGGACTTCAAGTTCGATGGGCGGTATTATGTTGCTTAAATTGTTTCGTTTTTGGTTTCCCCAGTCCATTTCATTTCTTGTTTTTTCTTTGCTTGTTTTTGGACACTTCACCTTACTTTGTACTCATGTGCTCACATCAACCATGATGTTTCCTTTCCTTTGTTTTCCCTCTATTGATTTATGTTTGTTGTATGTACATGGATTGTGTATGTGTTTTTGTTTTCCCTCTTGAAAATCTAAATAAGATATAAGTAAAGAATCGGAATGATAGATATTATGAAGTTTTCATGTAAAGTTCTTTCCTGTTTCTGACGTTGCATCCAGGGAAGGGAACAGAGCAAGCAACAAAACAAAACAACGAAAAAAAAGAAAAAAGAAAAGATATGGAGGCGGATGCTCCGGGACGGGGAATCGAACCCCGATCGCCGCCGTGAAAGGGCGGAATCTTAACCGTTAGACGATCTCGGAGCTTGAAAAATTGTGCGCACCGTCATGTTTATGTAGTGATTTGTGCGGAGTGCATGATCACGAACCGCAACGAGCAAGACAAAGCTGGTATCCATTCGGTTGGGAAAGCACGATTGCAGGAGCAGGAGCCCGCTTGAGAAAAGGGTGTTTGTGTTTTTTGTGATCACAAGAAAGAAAGAAAAGACGAAGAACCGTGGCTTTGGGGTTGGTGTCCAGCAAATTGACAGCCAAGTCTTACTTCATCTTGTTATTCCTTATTTTTTTTTTCTATTTAAAACGTCGCTCAATTTCTTCCCCAGCGGTCACCATCCCAGAATCTTTTTACCACCTCCTCTTTGTCTGGTAAATATAACGACCAAATCTACAAAAATAAGCAACGCGCAGCTGATAGAATTTTGCACAAAACAGCCGGATAAGAACTGAATTACATTATAGGGAACGAACAAACGTATCAAGGTCCTAATGAGACCGCCAGTTGTGCTTGGACCAACCCGCCCCCAACCAAACAAACAAGAACAACATGTACAGTGAAACGAAAAATCAACATGTACCTTATCAAAAACACACGAATAGTTGTTTTGACATACCATTTGTTCATCTGCAACAAAAGCAGCAAACAAATACAAAGAAGACAAAGAAAAGTAAAGCGGCATTTATTGGAGAATAGGTACATTATGCATGTTTGTAAAGAAAA